TATCCATGAATAAGACCATTTGAACCGTTGGTAAGACTAGTCATTGTTACTGTGAACAATGTCGCAATAACTGTTTCGTGGAAAGTCTTGTCCTTATTGTATTGATCAAACATGAACTCTAAATTGCCTGTCAGTTTACACATAAAGCAAACGTCCTGTCCATCAAATACAACAAACATGTTTCAATGCCACAGTTCCATGTTGAGCTTCAGTAACAGTGTAAAGGAAAAAAAGCTAGGATGGCCATTTGCTTCACATCAATCTCCCTTTGAGCCAGGTGGGCCGATGATATATATGTCCTTAGTCTATAATATATGCAGGATTATATTTCTTTGGGTGACAATTGGGCTCATTCAAAATACAATACAGTAGTGTATATATTAATACTGCGTCATTGATATATGTGTCAATGACAATAAATCATGGTAAGTCAGCGATCATTTGAGAAACTGATAAGCGAAACTGTTTACAAGAATATATGTAAGTCGTACATCCTTGTGCACCGAGGGAACAGTTTGATTTAACGTTCATCATAATTTGGCCAAACTGCTTGAAACTATGATGCTCATCTGGTGAATTGTGTAGCATAATGGATTCTGTTTGTGGAGTCATATATCGCTGTGAATCCCTTACACTGGTCTAAGATATTGGTATTATTGGTAACACCTGATATGTCTGGCGCTGGTCCGTCGTGATACTGAGGCATGGTCATCTACGTTTACGAATGTCAAGTCTATTGTTTCTGAATGAGGCATCTTTGTGAACATGGTGTGCAAACATGTCCGACATAGCTGTTAGACAAGAAGATAGCAGGTATAGCATCATATCTATATCAATGGGAGTCAATATAGACAAGTGTTTGTCATATATGGCACATCAGTCTGAGCATAAACAAGAGTAAAGTAACATAAAATAATAACTACATCAATCTGAGTATCAACAAGATTAAATTACATAGAGCGAATACCTGCGTGAATCTGAGCATAGACAAATGTATATGAGATAAAATGTACATCATACATGTATGTACATCGATCGGAGCTATATAAGTGCAATAATCCTGGACGCGACGTTAAACCCAATTTCCCCTCACCTCACTTGTGTAGTGAACATGATATACATCTTATCCACTGGAAATGACCAAGAAACTGACTTTCTTTAGTGTCCGCTTCTTAACGACACATATCGACGGGCCCACGTTTTTCACAGACGTTTTCTCTGACGAATACTTCCTCATTCCTGGGAAAACCCTTTGGAATTAGCTGGCACGAATGAATGCATGTACTTCTGATCTTCCAGACACTTTAATCCTGAACTCAAGGTTTTTAAATACATGGGATCGAATAACCGCATAACAGCAAATGCCAGTGAACAGAACGAAGATCTATTGACTCGACCCATGCCTTCACTGAGATTTGCAACAACATTCTACAGCAGTCTTTGACTTAACTTCAGTACCTATTCGACAAAACACCTAATACGCTTATCACATATTATTGTTTTTGACAAATATTTCTTTTGCAATAAAACTTAAAGCCAGTATCAAACGGACATTTAATTACTATTTTCAAACATAGTGGTTTAAATTATATGTGAGTCCACAGTCATGAATGATTGTATGGTTGCCTTTGACAATAGGGTTGTTGAAGATGTTCGTTGAAGCAACAGATGGAACCTTCCAAAGTAGCATCAATTGATATTCGGAAATTTCCAAAGAGCGTCTGGAGTTCCTGAGGTCGTTGTAAAGTAAGGTTCTTACGTTTGAGGTTAGTTCTTCTTACGGGCAACGAAATGCGTCTGTATTTATATACCTAGATACTTATCTTCAGTAAATCCACCCAGGGGGTTGTAAGAGAATGTATCTTTCGCCGGTATGCGAACTCCGAGAAACATCAGTTTGAAGACACAGAGTCTGTGATACATGTTGCGGTGTACTTTCTTCGTTCAATGCACTGGAAGCAAGAAGACGAGAGGTCCTCATCATTTGTCTTCCACGGTGATGAGTGGCGTGGGTTCCCTAAATCCTCTGAAATCAACACCAATGTAAATGTGAGTAAAATGACATAACACATACATATAATGCCAGTTTTTTTTAAACAGGAGTAACCCATTGCCATAAAATTTAGAAAATTATATAATTGAGGTCGGTATTTTGTAGCATCTGTTTGCTGTCATTTCAAGTGAGTGAATGAGTTTGGTTTTACGCCGCTTTTAGCAATATCCTAGTAATATCATGACGGGGGACACTAGAAATGGGCTTCACACATTGTACCCATGTCGGGAATCGAACCAAGGGCTTCGACGTGACGTGCGAACGCTTTTACCACTAGGCTACCCGACCGCGCCTCATTTCAAGATGTGACATATGAAACAACTGACCTGGCATCAATTTCACCTGAATTAGAGGCTGGGTTACGCATCACAGTGTTTCACGAAGTTTATATAATATTTTATTCTGACTATCGACTGGGTTTTATATGATTACCCAAAACACGTGGTGTTCCTGTAGACATGGTGCCAGACGCCTCCAAATGAGACAAGAAATTTTAAACATTGCAAAGTATCAATGCGCCTGTAAAACAATCCCGTGTGTGTTCTCATAATATTTGTTTTGCTGTAACAATATGTGACAAATAAAGCATCCTTACTGTTAGTAAATCAGGGAATATGAATTACACTTTAATATCACACTGCTACCCTGTCAAAGTTATTCGTATTTTTAAAGAGTTGTTCTTTACTGTCAACATCGTATTAAGTGTGAAACATCTGAAGTCTTAGGTCAGCTGAAAGAAAAAAACACGGAGACTATTAAGTGAATAATATACCACGTCAGATATATTTCAGCCATATTGTCACTTGAAATTTCTTTTGCATTTACATATGGACAGTATACTTAAAAACTAGCTTCACAACATTGAATATATCAGACTATTAAACCATGAAACAAAAACAAATCACCGGCAACCAATAATAGCTGTGCATAGTAAGGGCTAAGGAATTGACTGTGTTTGCGTAATAACCAAAATCAGTATGTTTCAAATCTCCCTTTATCTCAAGTATGGTTTTAATTTTAATCGATATAGTACATTGTCGCACTTTGCATGAAAGTCACATGACCCTATATGGACAGCCGTATTCGTGAGGACCGTAGTGATTGCAGCAGAATATTGTGAGATGAGGATTGTTGTTACCGTTGCAACATTTGAAACTGTTTTTGTAAAATCTGTGGCAAAAATCTGTGGCACACTATCAACTTGTATCTACAGAGTACAGGTGGGTGAGGTGAAATTTGCTTTAACGTCGCGTCCAAGATAATTGCACTTATATAGCGTGTGTGTGTGTGTGGCTGCTTGTACTAGTCCGGACTGATGCCGATTTATAGTGCTAGCACACTGAGATACCATGCCGCAGTTTAACATGAATACCCTACTCAGACGCAGTATACTGACTCCGAGCCGACCAGTCCTTGTTTTAGCCCCTTAATGCCGAGCGCCAGTGCCATCTTTTAACGTCTTTTGGTATGACGCGGCTGGGAATCGAACGCCGGATCTTCCGCTCTCCGGGCGGACGCTCTTCCACTAGACCACGGAGACGGTCATTAAGTCTAAAACTAAATCCTTAAAGAAACAGGGGAACCTCATGGATTACTATCACTGACGATGAAATACAACAACTAAAATATGAAGTAACTCCTTTGATAGGCATTTAGAAGTTGGAGTACTAAGTAAGGATAAGAAATTAATTGTAATAAAGAAGTTGTTCATCCATAAATTTCTTATCCTTACTTAGTACTACAACTTCTAAATGGCTCTTAATTGTAATAAAGAAGTTGTTCATCCATAATTTTCTTATCCTTACTTAAAATATGAAGGCTAACTCGGAACCCCTATTGATACGTTATGGTAAACAACACCACAATTTCCGGTTTGAGGTCAAATACTACACAAGGAATGATGACTTCGGGGGAAGGCATAGTGAAACGCGATTCGGAGAATCAGGATTATCTTGAGTATGTGGGATGGCAAACAAAAAAACTTGAACCGGTGTCGACCCTCGGTTGTTGGTGCTGTCACGCCTAGAGCCCAGGCCCAACCAGGTGATCTCGAATGTTGGTTAGTTGGTTTGTTGTTTAACGCCATACTCAGCAATATTCCAGCTATATGACGGCGGTTTGTAGTGAGTGAGTGAGTCTGGACCAGACAATCCAGTGATTAATATCATGAGCATCGATCCACGCAATTGGGATCGATGACATGCATCAACCAAGTCAGCGAGCCTGATCACCCGATCCCGTAAGTCGCCTCTTACGACAACCATTGTCGCCTTTTGCGGCAAGCATGGGTTGCTGAAGACCTATTCTATCCCGGATCTTCACGGGTCCCTCGTAAGTTGCCCGGGCACTGTGTGCATGCTGTGCCGAGATTTGTGAGTAAGCAATTTGTCTTACATGACAATCCGATTTATCTGTCCAAAAGGTGTCCAAAATCTGGAGAAGCTTTGTCGATATAAACCATGGTTTCAAAAGCCAATTTGTTCTCTGACAAACGCATCAGTAACAATAGTGCACGAAAACACGAGTCACTTTCTAGTAAGGGCATCTGGGCTAATCAAATAATGCAAGTTACTGGTCACAATTACATCAATTCAAAAAACGCACACTCGCAAATCACCGAGAGTCAATACCGCGGCATTTCCAACATTCTATCAAGTTACGATGCACTGAATGACCCCGGCAGTTGCTGAGGGTATGGTCGTGAACTCCTCTCCGTATCAACAAAAACATTCTCGTACATGTACGCTTAAATAAAACCTGATATTGAACTGATCCACATATTGATCTGTTCAAAATGTCAACGATACATTGAACAGGTTGTGATGATGCGAATTCATGACATAGCTGTGTTAATTTACTGATGATCCTTCACCATTCTTGAGTAGTATATGATGTTTGGGCTTAAATTGCATAGTGACTGATATCATTTTGTTTATCCAATATTTATCCTCTCCTATATACTCCTGCAGGGAGAAACAGCACCAAAGGCTCAAGCTACGGAGGAATGGATCGTCCCCGATACACCGTTACCTTCTGGCGAAGTTGAGGAGAAAGTGGGAAAAAGGATCGCTAACTTCTGTAACGGTTGCAAAGTGCATGTCCTCAGGGATGGCAAAGTCGTTCGGACTGCTGCAGGTAGCCAGTTTTCAGATCAATGTTCAAATGAGGTGAGGTGAAATTGGGTTTAACGTCGCGTCCAAGATTATTGCACTTATAAAGCGACGTGCGTGCACGTGTATTTGTGTGTGTGGCTGCTTGTACTAGTCCGGACTGATGCCGATTTATAGTGCTAGCTCACTGAGATACCATGCCGCAGTTTAACATGAATACCCCACTCAGACACAGTATACTGACTCCGAGCCGACCAGTCCTTGTTTTAGCCCCTTAATGCCGAGCGCCAGACAGGGTAACAGGGTAACAACAAGTACAATCTTTTAACGTCTTCTTGTATGACGCGGCCCGGGATCGAACCCTGGACCTTCCGCTCTCCGGGCGGACGCTCTACCACAAGACCACGGAGGCGGTCAATGTTCAAATGAAAACGGTTTGTTTCTAACACATATTCATGGACTATTCTGATCTAGCAGGTGGGGCACACGTTTATTTGGCTGAGACGGTTTACCGTAGATGTTGATATCCATGTACCATTGTGCATCATGCATCCTATATCGTCAAAGAATATTTACATACAGTAAACTACGGTTATAACGAACACGCTTATAACGAACTGACGGATATAACAAACTTACTTTTTTTGTCCCGATTATTTGCTGTACTTATGCTGTATATATGCTTATAACGAACTACGGTTATAACTAACTACGGTTATAACGAACTACGGTTAAACCGAACTACGGTTATAACGAACTGAAATTAGCAGTCCCTTTATGTTCGTTATAAGCGTAGTTTACTGTATCTCTTTAAGAAGACGTTTCATTATTTTCAGTAGACTAACTCTGATAATCCCTGGTTCATTGCACTGTGGGGAGTAGGGGGGCCCAGTCGTCAAAGGCGCCGCGAATCGCTGTGCAGAGTTGCGTCCCGTGGGTGCGCCAGAATCCTATGATTGTGGGTTCGAATCCCGGTTCGCCCCAATTATGTTTCTACGTTTGTCAGCACCATACCCGTGCTCGTGGGTTTCGCCGAAGTGGTAAACGTCTGAGCCCTTCATCACTTCGGGCTTTCCTCCCACATTAAGCTGACATGCCGTGATATAACTGGAATACTGTTAAAAGGGGCATTAAACCCAACTCACTCACTCAGTCATTGCTGTATTTGTTTGTTTGTACAGTGTGCAAATGTTGAACACAAATAAACACCAGCTATCATTTCAGATGTGCCCAGATTAACTAGGCAGGGAAAAGGTAGGTACATAGTTTCACCCGGAAGTATGTTTTGTTTGTTTGTTTGTTGTTTAACGCCGCACTCGGCAATATTCCAGCTTTGTGACCACGGTCTGTAAATAATCTTGTCTGGACCAGACAATCCAATGATTGACATCGTGAGCATCGACCCACGCAATTGTGATACGGTGACATGCATTCAACCGGAAGTTATATAGAAGACAATATACAATATAAAATTTGATCTCATAGGACTGACCGTGGAATGCATTGTGCTCATCGAATTTTCGTTCTCTGTGAGGTATACTGTCAATAGGCACTCATGAACGTGTTTAAAGTTGTGGATATTATTTATACTAACACATAAAATGTATTCTGTCTCATTTCTCCAGCTGTCAAGAGGCTGTCAAAGAGATGGGGCTCGTGGTGCGTGTTCTGCTGGGGATGTAAAGCTCGAGGAAAATAATGAATTATATCTGACGACGAAATACATGTCCACTGCAAACTGAATTTGCTGTTGTGTTTTATGTTGCTTTTTATAATATAAAAAAACACGGCCGTGGTCTTGTGGTAAAGCGTCCGCCCGGAGAGCGGAAGGTCCGGGTTCCATCCCTGGCCGCGTCATACCAAAAGACCTTAAATGTGGTACTTGTTGTTACCCTGTCTGGCGCTCGGCATTAAGGGGCTAAAACAAGGACTGGTCACTCAGACACAGTATACTGACTCCGAGCCGACCGGTCCTTGTTTTAGCAGCTTAATACCGAGCGCCAGACAGGGTCACATTAAGTACCATCTTTTAACGTCTTTTGGCATGACGCGGTCGAGGATCGAACCCCCAGACCTTCCGCTCTCCGCGCGGACGCTCTACCATTAGACCGAGGAGGCGGTTGGCTCATAGTGGTATGGGGTGGTATCACAATGACTGGCCAAATTGTCCGTGGTAGAGTCACAGGTCAATGCTATCGGGCTATTGCATGGTTCCATTTGCACAACGTGATGATAATGCACGTCCTCATGGTTGTGTCGACCGCCTCCGTGGTCTAGTGGTAGAGCGTCCGCCCGGAGAGCGGAAGGTCCGGGATTCGATCCCCGATCGCGTCATACAAAAAGACGTTAAAAGATGGTACTTGTTGTTACTCTGTCTGACGCTCGGCATTAAGGGGCTTGACAAGGACTGGTCGGCTCGGAGTCAGTATACTGTGTCTGAGTTGGGATTCATGTTAAACTGCGGCAGGTATTTCAGTGTGCTAGCACTATTAATCGGCATCAGTCCGGACTAGTACAAGCAGCCACACACGTGCATGCACGTCGCTATATAAGTGCAATAATTTTGGACGCGACGTTAAACCCCATGTCAACTGACCTCACCATGGTTGTGACCCGACTCTTCCAACAGCAAAGTATTCATGTCATTCAATGCCAGCATTCAGTCCTGACCTCTACCACATTGAACACGCCACGGACGTCATTGGCAGACGTGTACGGCAGCGTCAAATTCTAAACACCACACAATGAACTCGGTGGTGCTCTCACTGATGAGTGGAACAACATGAGTCAAGCTGACATTGGTCGGCTTATCAGCAGCTTGCCTCGACGCATTCGTGCATGTCTGGCCAATAGAGGTGGTTTTATCAGATATTGGTGAATGCTGTAAAATAATGTCTTCACGAACTAGTGCACCACCATTTCATCACACCAACCATTAGATCCCTATAGATGTGCCCGCCTTCTCCCCAGCAGATATCGTCATACCATTTACATGTACCAACACAATATAGTTAAGAAGATATGTCTTCATGATTCCCACTGTCCCCTGTCAAGGGTTGCAAATGTGGTGTCTGGTCCTAGCCGCTGAAACAGTACTGCAGTCATTATGTTGAACAACAAGTTGTCGTTCTTTTCTACGTTAAACAGGGGCGGTCGGCTAGCCTAGTGGTTAAAGCGTTCGCTCGTCACGCCGAAGACACGGGTTCGATTCCCGACATTGGTACAATGTGTGAAGCCCATTTCTGGTGTCCCCCGCCGTGATATTGCTGGAATATTGCTAAAAGCGGCGTAAAACCATACTCACTCACTCACTCTACGTTAAACATCATGCAGGTTTATGATGCGCCGCAGAAACACTATTGATTGGACATATATTGGTAAAGTATTAGTTATACAGACTGAATATCCCCACAGACAAACGAACGGTGGTCCACACTGGAGGACTATGTAAACATGAGTTTAGAAATCGTGGATTGATTACAATACATATTGATAATACAACGACGGCATGTAAAAAGTCTAATGATTGATGTCATGACAAGTGATGTCTCGAACTTGGGATGGCGTCACATATTTTATATGGTCATGATATATTTAACTTAATGAGATTTCAGTGATACGTTGCCACTATCCTGGCGGATCTCGATCCTTGTGTGGTCCATGATTATAAAAAAGAGTTTTAAGTCACGTTGCCACTATCCTGGCGGATCTCGATCCTTGTGTGGTCCATGATTATAAAAAGAGAGTTTTAAGTCACGTTGCCACTATCCTGGCGGATCTCGATCCTTGTGTGGTCCATGATTATAAAAAAGAGTTTTAAGTCACGTTGCCACTATCCTGGCGGATCTCGATCCTTGTTTGGTCCATGATTATAAAAAGAGTTTTAAGTCACGTTACCACTATCCTGGCGGATCTCGATCCTTGTGTGGTCCATGATTATAAAAAAAGAGTTTTAAGTCACGTTGCCACTATACTGGCGGATCTCGATCCTTGTGTGGTCCATGATTATAAAAAAGAGTTTTAAGTCACGTTGCCACTATCCTGGCGGATCTCGATCCTTGTGTGGTCCATGATTATAAAAAAGAGTTTTAAGTCACGTTGCCACTATCCCGGCGGATCCCGATCCTTGTGTGGTCCATGATTATGAAAAGAGTTTTAAGTCACGTTGCCACTATCCTGGCGGATCCCAAATCTGTGTGGTCCATGATTATGAAAAGTGCTTTAAGGCACGTTGCCACTATCCTGGCGGATCTCAATCCTTGTGTTGGCCATGCGTTGGGTTGCAAGCACAAATGAATAGAGATTAAAATCAGTTCATTGGGTGTAGCTGATAGTATTGAACGTCATTCGCGCTGACCCTTTCATAAAAGTCGAAAGAAGAAAGGGCAGGACTACACCTCCCAATGGCTTCAATACGGCTCATTGTGCAGGCAGCCAACACGACAGGTGTTAGTCAATGGCAAACTGTTGTAACATGATATGATGTGTGTTTGTTATCTAACGCCGCTGTATGATTGTGGGCTATGTAATAGATTGTAGAGCGTCATAAACAAATCATTCAACAATCAGTAGCAGTATTTTGAACACGAGGGAACATGTCGGTGATATATGTACATGTAGGTTGCTGGCTATGTCATCAACACAGTTGGTCTCTGTCCCATCATGGAAACAATTCAGCGCATGTAGCTGCGGGATAGTCCTTCAAAAAACTGCCGTAGTCTCTTCACTGACACGTTGCGGTTGATGATGAGCTGAGACCTCTTCACTTCAACATGGACAAAGCGTCGCTTCTCAAAATACTCAATGAGACGTGTTGTTGCACCGACACAGGCACACCTCTTTTCACTATAGCATGCATAATTCATGTTGATTGTGCGCAGCAGAGTGACCTCAGTTGTATGGAGTGTATTACTCTCACGGGACGTGTTTGCCTGTATGAGGAAGTCGTAAATAGATTCAGTCAAATAGCAGCAAACAAACTGACTTTCACAGATAACATGTAACTGTACATCGACTAAAATGGTTTACAATCAATAATTATGACATAGCCTGGTAATATAGTCAGGTCAAAATAAAACGATGTATCATATTGGAAATGACATAGTCCAATGGAATATTGATACAGTTGGGTTGAGCGAGAGAATTTTATTTAACGCCTCAAGCTGCAATATTTCAGCTATTTCACATCGGTCTCTACATAACTGAGTTTGGACCAGCGAAATCATTGGCTGATCGCATGAGCGAAGAGCCACGCCATCAGGTTGTGATAACACGCAGCCAGCGAACTTACAAGCCTATTCACTCGCTTCCCCTCAGCTGGTCAGTAAATATTGGACAGTAAACTACGTTTATAACGAACACGCTTATAACGAACTGACGGATATAACGAACTTACTTTTTTGTCCCGACTATCTGCTGTATTATGCTGTAGATATGCTTATAACGAACTACGGTTACAACAAACTAAGATTTGTGGTCCCTTGAGTTCGTTATAACAGTAGTTTACTGTATACTTGGACTTTACTGCTCTTGGATCCCCACAGGGAATGGTGACAGATAGATGTACAGATGATCACTTTCACGCTAATCTTACCAGGATATGCAGCTTCCGTGGTCTAGTGGTATAGCATCCGCTCGGAGAGCGGAAGGTCCGGGGTTCGATCCCCGGCCGCGTCATACCAAAAGACGTTAAAAGATGGTACTTCTTGTTGCCCTGTCTAGCGCTCGGCAGTAAGGGGCTAAACAAGGACGGTCAGCTCGGAGTCAGTATACTGTGTCTGAGTGGGGTATTCATGTTAAACTGCGGCAGGTATCTAAGTGGGCTAGCACTATATATCGGCATCAGTCCGAACTATACACACGTGCATGCACGTCGCTATATATATATATCTTGGACGCGACGTTAAACCTAATTTGACCTTAGCTCACCTTACCAGGATAACGGTAAAGCGATATATATTAAACTATCATACTTACCTCATACAATTACAGTACCACTACTATTCTCTGCGCTTCTGTGCAGTGTAAAAGAACGTGTTACTTACCCACAACAAAACAACTACTACTCCGCAGTCCAGCTCATCCCAGAATGCATTGATAAGCGGCAGTGTCATAGTAAGTCGATTGCCTATGGATCTGCACGGCGTGTAGGTGTGCGGCATGCCGTGTCACAGTGACCCGGCTATTCAGGAGTCCACACCATGACAGTGGGTCACACAGATAGAGACACGTTCTGATCAAAACAAGGGCATAGCTCAGATACGTCGCGGCCTGTTTTTATGAATGTATAGTTTGAAATGTGAATGCGTGTGGCTCTTCCTCTTTCCTTTTTTGTCTCAGGTGCATGGCGTGATTATATTGAGGTGAGGAGAAATTAGGTTTAACGTCACGTCCAAGATTATTGCACTTATATAGCGACGTGCATGTGTGTGTGTGTGTGTGTGGCTTCTTGTACTAGTCCGGACTGATGCCAATTTATAGTGCTAGCACACTGAGATACCATGCCGCAGATTTACATGAATACCCCGCTCAGACACAGTATACTGAGCCGACCAGTCCCAGTTTCAGCCCCTTAATGTCGAGCGCCAGACAGGGTAACAACAAGTATCATCTTTTAACGTCTTTTGCTAGACGCGGCCGGGGATCAAACCCCGGACCTTCCGCTCTCACAGATACCTACAATACATTTTTAAACATGAGATACATATAATTTCTTTAAAGTTAAATCATGTATCTAAATTGTAAATGAGGAATTAAAAATATACACCCGATACTTTTAGTATTTTTTTCGTTTGGAGAGAGAAGTAGTGACAGTATAGACTGGTATCTGATGGGTGCAAACAGGTGTCGAGTCGCTGTCTCAGATGGCTCTAATTTCGTAGCTCTAAAGATCACGACAGCGATACAGACCGTAAAGTAGTTTGTCTCACATTCCCTGAACCATATTATTTTCCCTTCCGCCCAGGCCTTACTGCAATGCTATAGCCCCAAATGAAACAACCCCAGATGTTCAACAGGTTCAGGCTGAAATTTCCATCTCACTTGGGCTCCTTTCAAATTTAAATATAGTTTCTCGTTTTAACCAAAATAATAAGCGTGACTAAAGCGTTAGTCTAACCGTGAAGTACAACTATCCAACAGATCCCATGCATGTCTATATTTTTCCATGTTCCTATCGATATGTATCAAAAGAGAAATGAATTAAATATTACAGCACTGGTGAATAGGTTAAATGCTCATGTCAGCGTCGATCCTACAATATCCTTTTGCGCAAAATACATATATACTGATGAATTAACGTTGTAATACTACGCAAATATATGTCCAGATGTATACATCAGTTTCATCTCGTGATCTTATTCGTGCGTTTAGCTCTCTTTCTACGGGGTGTTACATCACACCAGAAAGCCAGGTCCAAATTCAAGTCATAATTTCATGGTCCGTCTTGTATGTTGGAAACTCACTAGATACTTCCCTCTCACAAATAACGTCAAATTTACGACGTCCTCAAGTTGCGAGTGCATGTGCGAATCTCCATAAATGACGTCATGATAGAACAATGTTTTATCGTGAAATATATATCGCTTCCTTCTTCTTTGTTCTTTGCAGGGGGTGAGGGCAGTTGATGGTATTACAAATGTGAAACCTCATTACACAAAGGAAGAGGCGAAAGCTGAAACTTGGTGAGATTTACAGAACAATGGCAGTTATTTCTAGTTTTTAACTGACTCTCGAGGATACATTTAATGAAACGATTGTGTGTGTGTGTGTGTGTGTGTGTGTGTGTGTGTGTGTGTGTGTGTCATAACTGTAAAATGCCTATCATCACCATCATCATCATCATCATCATCATCATCATCATCATCGTCGTCATCATCATCATCATCATCACCATCACCATCATCATCATCATCATCATCATCATCATCATCGTCGTCGTCACCATCATTATCATCACCACCACCATCAGTATCAGCATTGCCACCGGTATCGTTATCACAGGTATATACAGTACTCCACACAGAGATTCACGAAGGGCATCTATTTGACCAGGGGTTATATAAATAGCTATAATAGCTGTGTGTCAGTATATCCAGTTTCTGTCAGTGAAGAAAAATACCAAGTCGGTCAGCTGTGACACACGGTTCTTCAGCATCGGGCAACAGATGATTTTCTTACGTCCTTGACACACACAAGACCTCTTGACATAATGTAACTTACCAGGGACAGGGGATAGTCGGATTGCAGACACGGGGTGGATATCATCCAAATATTCTTACGAACTACCAGAAACCGTTTCATAGATCATGCTCTCTGTCTAGGAAACTATTCATTACTGCTGTACAGTATCAAATATATTAGAACAGTAAAAGAAAATAACGACACCAATTCCCAAACTGTTTAAAATTATATTCCCTCTGTGTGTGTGTGTGTGTGTGTGTGTGTGTGTGTGTGTGTGTGTGTGTGTGTGTGTGTGTGTGTGTGTGTGTGTGTGTGTGTGTGTGTGTGTGTGTGTGTGTGTGTGTGTGTGTGTGTGTGTGTGTGTGTTGGCGAATGATGAAAACCAACATGGCCACCAGTCACTAGATTTGCGTCAAAATCATTCTAGCTTCCTTCATTTGTCATCTGAAATAACATCCCTTCGTGTACTTGTGCTTCCTACTCAAGTTACCAAACACACCCTGTTTACACACGTACAAGATATACACAACCGGGCAAAAGAAAATGACTGCCATTCTAATATCACTCCTGTGTACAGTGAAATTGCGACCCCCGTGTTCCTTAATTAAGACGTCATGTGCACGTCACCTGTTGTGAGACACTCATTGATATGATGCATGTAGTATCGCCTAAGATACCCGAAGCAAATATATCTCCATCGAATAACCTTCTTCTTTGTTCTTTGAGGGCAGTTGATGGTACAGACAGATAACAGAGATCATTTTACAAATGTGAAACCTCATTACACAAAGGAAGGGCCGAAAGCTGAAACTTGGTGAGATTTACAGAACAATGGCAGTTATTTCTAGTTTTTTACTGTCTCTCGAGGATACATTTAATGAAACGATTGTGTGTGTGTGCGTGTGTGTGTGTGTGTGTGTGTGTGTGTGTGTGTGTGTGTGTGTGTGTGTGTGTGTGTGTGTGTGTGTGTGTGTGTGTGTGTGTGTGTGTGTGTGTGTGTGTGTTTGTTGGATATTACATAAAACATTCATCTTGAGCGGGATGGTAGTTCGAGTTGGATAAGCATGATAACTATGTTCTTCTTAAGGTAGAGAATGCCGCGCATGAATGTATCAATGAGATTCCCAGGGACATGGGGGCTTTTCGGCAGGAATATCCACACAGAGGAGGCTTAAATGGGGATCGGGTGAACATAATGTGGTACCTGGTTGATTGTGTGTCATCAAACCGGACAACTTTGGTCTTTGACTGATTGTGGCGTAAAACACACTTATTCATTTACTTGTATCGGAAATTGAATGTTCATCTTAATTGTTATTGATGAACACGTAATATATTTTAAAAGAAATGAAACAATGACATAATAACTACAATTTTATGTGAGTACGAGTAGCTCTATTGGAGATGGAGATGAATAAGTGTTATAAAGTTGTAAGATTCTTCACAACCGTGTAACAATGAATTGACTTTATTGGGTAATCCAAAAAGACATATCGACCTAAAATAGCCAAATATCATACGATTTGACTTGTCCACCATCTTGGATGCAAGGCAAAATCATTTCAGCGCGTTTGAAGCTACTGAGAATGCCCCCTCAGAGTTGGACGAACATCCTGTGGTAGCGCGGCGTGGTTGACCAGAGGCTATCAGCAGTATTTCCTGTCCAGGTTATTAAGGTCCGTTGTGCGTGCGTGCGTGCGTGCGTGCGTGCGTGCGTGCGTGCGTGTATGTGTGTGTGTTTGTGAGGAGGGGGGGGGGGGGGGGGGGCATGGGGGTGAGAGTGGGGGGATAGATGATGGATTTAACAACAAGTAAGGTTATCTTGAGCGGAACGGTTTTCGTAGATGGATTAGCATATGAAGTATGATTCTCCTTAGGTAGAGGACCGCCTCCGTGGTCTAATGGTAGAGCGTCCGCCCGGAGAGCGGAAGGTCCGGGGTTCGATCCCCAGCCGCGTCATACAAAAAGACGTTAAAAGTTGGTACTTGTTGTTACCCTGTCTGTCTGGCGCTCGGCATTAAGGGGCTAAAACAAGGACTGGTCGGCTCGGAGTCAGTATACTGTGTCTGAGTGGGGTATTCATGTTAAACTGCGGCATGGTATCTCAGTGTGCTAGCACTATAAATCGGCATCAGTCCGGACTAGTACAAGCAGCCACACACACACATGCACGTGCATGCACGTCGCTATATAAGTGCAATAATCTTGGACGCGACGTTTAACCCCATATCAGCTCACCTTAGGTAGAAAATAAAGATCCACGATGTTCGACTTGGTAGAAGTGGGTAATCAAACCGTACAGCATTGGTCTTTGATTGACTGTGGCGTCAAAAAAAACTCATTCATGTACTTGACCTGAATGTTCATCTTAATTGTTATGGATAGTCATGGAGCCGTAATCCAGAGAACAGGGTGTCATTCGATAAAAATAAAGTAATAATAGGATTACCAGAAAAACGGGGTATAACACCCAAGCCAATAAGCTTTGCCCAGGAACACCAGAGTAAGTCCATACAAGATTGAAAACTGCCCCATAATTATGAATGGCATGCTAGTCGGGTATTGCTACTTGTATATGTGAAAACAAAGTTATTAAAATGAATAGCAAAACTGATGAAAGTCACCAATAAACGTGTATAAATGTTATATCATCACTGCAAAAATAATGAGTGTTTGTCTTCAGTATTAACATTCAAATACGTGATATCTATACAAGCGATATTATCTACGTTCCATCGGTGAGTAAGCTTTAGGCTTACTATCTCGTAGTATAAATGTTGTAAGAAACTGTATTTCTGAAGACATCACGATACAGTTTTTACGATGCATCACGTCTGCACTAGCGCTTGATAACAGCCTTGTGTTTGGGTGTTTCAGTAGTTTAAATTGCTGCTCTTGATATTGTTGATTAAACTTTGATACTATGAACAATATATGGTTATATGAGAGTAAGACTTTAGAACGGTAACATGCGTTAATGTATATCTGATATATATATACATAGGATGACAAAAATAGAACAATGAGTAGTACGTGCAGATTAGAGTATAGACAACATCTAATAATTAAATTCAACAACTCTCCTTTTAAGTCTTTTTTCCTGACTTAAACTGAGTAAATGAAAGAACACAATCGTCCGGACTGCAAAGTATAATTCTGGTGCACTTCCATGTGACTATAGAGCATACAATAAGCTTTCGGCTCCCGTTTGGATCGGATTCCATAAAATAGGTTCATCTCGGAATCTCCCATATAACTGGGGCTCCTCTTCAATTTAAATGGAATTACTTGTTTCCTTCAAAACTATACAGTTTTAGAGACTAAGCATTAGTCTGAACAGACATCACCAGTTTGGAATTTGAAACTAATCTGTTTACAGTGACAGGACACTGCTTAAGTGTCATGTACAAATGAGAAAGTGGAATCCCGTCAATAAGGCGGACGAACCTTAAAACTATTAATAAACAGTCAAATAAGCAATATCGTAAAAATGTATATGCATATAATATCTGGCAATATACACCAAGATCACCTTCTACAAAAATAAGTTTTAAAAGCCGGTTGATATTCGTTTGGGTATTTGACGATTATATAACTTTCGAAAGTATAAATCTTTTTCCTATACTCAGACGTTCCTGAGCCTTGCGCTTTCCTAATTATTTGACTAACATTATTACCGTTATCATTGTATTAGTTAATGGGGAATGCGTGCCGATCAAGTACGTGCCATAAATTAAAGCGACATTGTACGATTCCGAACTTAGCACGAGACTGTGTTTATGAATCATTGTCAAATAGTGGTGACATAGTGGAAACAATACGCGAAATCGCGCATGCACAGAAGGGAAAATTTAGACAAGGCATTAAGCAATCCGCATGCGCAGAACGATTGATTTCAGTACTTCCGCTAAGCGCGTCGAGTACAGCGTCAAACTCGGGCCTGTAATCTAACACGCGAGAACTGACCAATGAAATCTGAGAAGTAGGAATACCGGTAGACGCTGTTGCTTGATTGACAATGTCAATCAAGAAAGGGAGGAGCTTGATGATATTGTTCTCTCCCAGTAAATTGCGATGTCAAATAACGACGTTATTTGGACGGAAAAACGATGGTTTGAAAGCGTCCAAATAACGTCGTTTTTCCGTCCAATGACCATATACGGAAAAAACGACGTTTTCGTGTTTGCAGTGTGACCGCTTGTGGGTTTCTGTGATGTGCAGTGTTGCCTCACACACCATTACGCTCCCACGACCGATTGCAGAACGTTGAACAACACATGCGTCAGCTTACGTCCCATCCGACGTTCATATACATGCTGACTGCCATCATTGCTATGAAGACGACTAACGTCCAGTCATGTAACCTGAACCTAAGACGTTGTCTTGATCATTGTCGGTGTCGGATTCTGCACAGTCGTGTACTAATCCGTCGTAAGCCTAGGATGATTCGACCTGTCCACGATCTGCAACACGTTGAATAATTGAACAACATGGATGGAATGGTGTTCGTATAGGAATATAAAACTATTGATGGTTCCTGAAATTTAGAATATTGTGGGACAGTTAAGGAAACAGATTTCTGTTTGAGCATGTTACTTTAGTTTAAACCATCAATTCCCTTGTTTGTAAATTTCATATTTAGAAACATGGAGTCATTTTGTGTGATTTTGCGTCTGTTTCTGATTTGGCCAATCGTTCCAAAGCAATATCAACAAATCTACTCTTTAGTGATCTCTAGTGTGTGTAGAGTCGTTTGTAGTCGTTTCACTGAATATTGTTCTGTCCTTACTTTTCTACTGTCCCAATGGTTCCCGAAGGAGAGGCAAATCAATGATATCTTTTGGCCTTCGTCCTTTCGTGTGTCTTTGAGATGATGGAAACAGAGTTGACACATTGACGTTGGCATTTAGCTGGTTAAAAATAATGCTAATTTAGTTATCTGTGGACAATATGCAGTGGCTGTCGCAATAATCCCGTCTCATATAATTCCAGATATATCCCCAAATCTATCATGTTGCCGTAAGTTAACGCTCGCCAAACGTCCGTTTAGACGCCTCCACACACATCCAGGACTTTTAAGAAAATCCAGAGTGAATCTAGACTCTTCTGAATACATTACATGAGACTATGGGCCTCTGGCTAGAATGTGTCGATTTGTTGACGATGATACAAGACGTGGTCGCCGAGAATGCAAATTAGCTGCATGCAGACGATGTCTTATCGTTTGGTCAGTAACATGAGGTGAGGTGAAATGGGGTTTAACGTCGCGTCCAAGATTATTGCACTTATATAGCGACGTGCATGCACGTGTGTGTGTGTGTGTGTGTGCATGGCTGCTTGTACTAGTCCGGAATGATGACGATTTATAGTGCTAGCACAGTGAGATGCCGCAGTTTCACATGAATACCCCACTCAGACACAGTATACTGACCCCGAGCCGAGTCCTTGTTTTAGCCCCTTAATGCCGAGCGCCAGACAGGGTAACAACAAGTACCATCTTCTAACGTCTTTTGGTATGACGCGGCCGGGGCTCCCCGGGCGGACGCTCTACCATTAGACCACGGAGGCGGTCAGTAACATGAACTTGGTGGAATGGTGCATGTGAACAATGATTAGATTGACTGTTTCTCAAAGCCTGTAACACCTGGTCATGCATCACTTCGTGCTTTCCTCTCACATTAAACTGATACACATAATCGACACATTAGCCGGGACACCGTGATCCGACGTCTCCGTTCCAACAACCTCAGATGTCGCCGACCAGCACGTCGTCCTGTTCTCCAACAACGGCATCGACAAGCACGACTTCAGTGGACACAGGGTCATCGCAATTGGCGTCATCGTGAGTGGAGGCGTGTCATCTTCTCTGATGAAAGTCGCTTTTGTATCTCCCATGCAGACGGAAGAGTCAGAATTTCGCTGACAGAAACGTTGTGGAAAGGGATCCATGGGGTGGACCTAGCGTCATGATATGTGCAGGAATTGGACTTAATGCGAGACTTGGACCCATGTGCTTTCTGAATGTTGGTCAAGGTCGGGGACACGGCGTCACCGCTCAGCGGTATATCGACCAAGTGATCAGACCCCACGTTGTTCCATTTTTTGCACAACATCAACAACACATTTTCCAGCAGGACAACGCTCGTCCCCATGTTGCCAGAGCTACCATGGCCATACTGCAACAACACAACATCCGTGTTCTACCGTGGCCAGCCCTCAGCCCTGATCTGAACCCCATCGAACTATGTGGGACAAGGGTTCAAAGGCGTCTGCACAATGTGCGCCCAGTCCCTACTACTGCCGATGACCTACGCACAGCTGCTCTGGATGTGTGCAGGAGGATCCCGAAGGCCTTCACAAATCGTCTGATCCACTCAATGTACAGGAGATGTGAGGCAGTGATCAATGCTAATGGTGGTCACACCTGGTATTGACTGACATTTTGGGTATTGACCCGAAACTGTGTAAGCCCTTAACATTTGAAAAAAACAATTATGTTATCTGCCTTTAAATCCATTCAACTGTCTTCAGTCAATTTTTTTTGTCAATCTTGCCCTATTAGTATTTCTTGTCTTTACTGTTGAAAATAAATAACATGTATAATGCATACTCGACTTGCGTTTTTTTTGCGTGTGAGTATATGTGAGTATGCTGACGTGAGAAATGCTCAAGCTATTTGAAACAAAATATTGAAATAAAACATTATATATCGGATTAACTTCCCATACGTTGTTCCGTTTTACTTAACACTTTACTTTCGTAACTGGAGGCCACATGGTAAAGATCCATTGACTGGGGTAATAATAGTGTAGCGCTATGAGCATCCACTTGGTGAATGGAATCTGGCGCATATAAATGCACTTATTATTTATTATTATGACAAGGCAATGGATTTTAATTTGTTTATATTTGTTGACGAAATCTATTCAGTTTTTTGGTACGATGGATTTTTGTGAAAATAACTGTGAATAAACCGTTTTCTACTTTCTAACGAGGACAAAGCAGAAGAGAATGTTATTCATTACCGGGTAGCATATAATCATCGTGTTGAAATATGAATAAATCTTGGACAATATCTACTTTGCTAGACACATATTTTCTTATTTCTCTTTCTAGATTAAAGCAAAAGATACGAACATTCGTTAAATATTACATCTATGTATTTGTGAGATGTCTATTTGGTGTCAAGTTATTAATCTACATAAAAAAACACAAGATGAGGTTTTCCAACAGCCTTATATTTTGCTGTTGAAAACAAAAGAGACACATTTCCCACCAAACATGCCAACAAACACAACTGGGCACACATTCCGCTAAGCTCTTTATTGCCACTTGTCAAGCATTCATGTCAGAGTCTGCTGGTAATTTTAGGAAATATATGATCGTAGCCCCATTGTCAAGGGTAGTAACTGAAACGCAATCTGTCTACTGCGTCATAATCATTGGATACAAACACTTACGAAGGGCATAACGATATAGTGAGGGTCGTGAATTGGGTGCACTCGTGGGGACATAAAACATCAGGCTTTAGAATTCTCATTGGCTCTCAGATAAGATCTTTGAACTATTGTGGAGTTCGCGTTCTACAACCAATAGCCACGGCAGTAAATCATGACGCTAATAGGTGACGATTTCCAGCAGCACTCGAGGCGTTTTACGTTACAGTCACAAACTAACTCAGAAAGCCGTCACATGTTAAGTCTCCTGTCACCAGCAAACATGTTCGTTTTTACTTTGCTGGCAATGTTTTCTGTTGCATGGACTTTTAAAACTTTTGACGTGGCAACATTTAACGAAGGTATATTTGGTGTGAGTGAATGATCTAGATTTGATACCGCGTTAACCAGCATTACAGTTAAATCACGATGTCTCAAGTGGATGTTATAGGAATGCCCGAAGTAAGGCATGTTTTCAACGTTAACTACACTTGAGAAACCAACGAGGGCGGGAAGGTTTATAGTTTTCTTCTTGTTATTGTGGACGCATGTCTGGCGGTGACAACCATGTGGAAAAGCAAGAACTTGGAGGCAAAACTCTCAAATCTGCTGTCTGCTTACAGATAAAATCACGGCTGTGGAGGACACCGTTCATAGACTCGTGGCTAGGGTGAAGGCACTGGAGGCACTGGAGGCGTACATCAATATATCAGGTAAATTTACTTTAAGTTGATGATTTTAGCTAGGAACAAGACAGGACCGTAATTAGTAATGTTGACCCCCGATGTTGTTGGTTGATGTTGGTTTGTTGTTTAACGCCTCGCTCAGCAATATTCCAGCTATATGACGGCGGTCTGTAAATAATCAAGTCTGGACCAGACAATCTATTTCTTCAACTTGTCACACCTGAAATACGAAATGACATATTCGATTTCCATGAAATGACCTGCGGAGCTGATTAAATGACTTGGCGATTCCAAGCTAAATTTTAAAACACAGTAGGTTTATTTTCATTCTACCAGTGGGGCGGTCGGGTAGCCTAGTGGTTAAAGCGTTCGCTCATCACGCCGAAGACCCGGATTCGATTCCCGACATGAGTACAATGTGTGAAGCCCATGTCTGGTGTCCCCCGCCGTGATATTGCTGGAATATTGCTAAAAGCGGCGTAAAACCATACTCACTCACTCACTTACTCATTCTACCAGTGGTTCCAACTTAAAATAGGATGTCTATACTCTACAGTGGGACTACATCAAATTTCAATAAACGGCAGGTTTATCTCCTAAATTGAGATCCTATTGAAGTTACCAAATAAGAGGAAACCGAGAAATTTCAGTCATTATTTGTTTTTATATCATGAAACTTGAGCCTTGACAAACTTGAGTCGACAATAAATAACAGTCATATGTTCACCATTTTGTCTTGTTGATCTCTTGAATGCATCGACAGTTCGCATAAGTCCCTTCCACACATCAACAATTCAAATCACATCTACCCCTACTTACCGAAAGGTCACAATATCCAAAGTCACGTGCATATATGTGGAATTAAATGAATGACTGTAGGTCATAATGGTAGTGTCAGAAACAAGATCACATTGCCTGAAAACTATACAGCACTTTCGAAATAATCAAAACATTAATCTGGATCTGACAGGTAAAGCAGAAGCCTCGATGACCTCTCTGGCTGAACGGGTGAACGCACTGGAACTGGAAGTCCAAAATATGCGTATGTAAATCATCATCTTTTCTCATTTCGTAAATTTAACACGAGAAAGTTTCTGGAAACTGGTTTGCCTGATAAGACTACATTATATACAGGCCGTCGTGGAATATTGCTAACCTTATTGTTATACACCACCCACGATTGATTGAAGCTGTGGTGGAAATCTCTCTTGGAGGAACGTTATGTTATAAGTTATGGTGTCTTTAGTTGCCGTATACGATGTCATACTCGTGAAGCAGAAGAAAAATGATCAATTTGTCTCTGTTAACCTCTGCACATGTCAAGGTGAGGTAGGTGTTGGAAAATCCAAGATGTCTGTTACTGATGGTATACGGTCTCGAATGGGGTTGGTTGTTCTCTGATTGGTCTTTCTCACTTTGTGTCAGTAACAGGACGCGAGTTTCTCAAAAAAATGTTGTGTCTTCTTTCAGGCAGCATGGAAACTGTGCGGGGCAACAGGTCTTCTACAAAGGACACACTGGGAGCAGCTGTCACGAAACCACGTAATGAATAGGGTCGTAATGAAATACACACACACACACACACACACACACACACACACACACACACACACACACATATATATATATATATATATATATATATATAACACGGACATGAAGTAGAAACATAATGTTACATAGGTGGTACTAGTTGAGAGCGATAGCCAATTAAAACTGTGTTCAAGCTTACTCCACTTATTTAATTATTACTATATTGTGCCTGAGAGTTAGAACTAAACTGTGCTTTTTCTATATATAAAGAGCCACAAATCTACCTGATTTGCAAAGTAATACTTTCATGACAATTCAACTTTTTTTGGCATATCTATAGTGAGTTGAAATAATATCGGTGTAAAACATACAAAGAAAGATACTAATTTCAGCAAGTGTGATCATGTAATTTTATGTTTAAAACGTATACTTTATGCCAAATAACATTTGATACTGTTTTTGTTGTGGCAAATCGAAATATTTGATCCAACTAAGACCTATGACCTTCACTTGCGCCCACTTTTCTACTGTTGCTGTAGACATCTCCGAAACTACAAGGCCTATACAGCTGAAACTTTGAATGAATGATTCCAAGTTGTGGTGCCTCTAGGACATGTAGACGCAATTCAAGTCCGACTTCAAACATGGTCGCCATTATTTACTCATAACTGAGATGAACTAAAGAGCATATCCCAAAAGAGTTTATAACATTTGTGCAATATATTATCTTTCTTTGTGTGTTGTTTAACGCCGCACTCAGCAACATTCCAGCTATATGACGGCGGTCTGTAAATAATCAAGTCTGGACCAGTCAATCCAGTGATTGACATCATGGGCATCGATCCACGTAATTGGGATGCGATGACATGCATCAACCAAGTCAGAAAGCCTGACCACCCGATCCCTTTAGTCGCCCCTTACGACAGGCATAGTCGCCTTTTACAGCAAACACGGGTTGCTGAAGATCTATTCTACCCCGGACCTTCACAGGGTGCAAGCTATTATCCTTCTAAAATGGCCAGAATGAAGTGACCAATGTTCAATGTTTCTCCAATGTTACTTTCTTTATGACCTGTGTAGATTTATTTCTTCTCAATCTGTTTCTTGTAGATTCCTTCAAATACGTTGGGTGTTACAGAGACTCCTGGGTTCGTGCACTACATTTCCTCTGTCCCACAACACACCTGACAACAGAGAAATGCCGGATGTGTTGTCTTGATCGTAGCTTTTCCTATTTCGGAACTGAGGTACGTAACTCTGCAATCTGCAGAAAAGCAGTAACTCCAGTCTGATGATGCTATTCATATCTAGGATTGCTCTGGCCATGGAAAGTGCTTTTGTATGCCATTCGGCATATAACCAAGCCTGTAACCTTATATTCAAACTCATGTAGATTTTTTGCACATTGATCTGCCATGGTAACAAGAAGATGGAGTCCCCAAAAATAATTGTCAATAAAGGCAATGTCTTTCCATCTGATTCAGTCCTTGTTAAACCCATTGAAAGTCTTCTTTTGTGGATCCCCAGTCCAATATGGTCTTTTCGATGATAGCAGTGGTAGAGGGTCCTTTACCGGGAATTAGATGGACGTCATCAATTTTATCTTTCAAGGTATAACCTGTTGCCTGAGCGGTACTTGAAGCATTCCAAGGATTGTTGGATTTAGATCCTAATCACATAAGTCTGGTATTGCTGACCATGTTTCGATAATTCGTCTTAGTACAGGGTGGTATCACTGTCGTTGATAATTGTGGCCTCTATATGAGCATGGTTCACAGGCAATCTCATGGCTGTAATATGTCAGGAAAAGAGCTATACCTCCTTGTACACCAACAGAATCTAACACAGCTATAATAACCTGATGAACATGATCATATCAAACAATTTCCAACAGGAGTCTCAATACACACATCTTTGTGTAATGGCTATAAGTATTGCCTTTTTCGTAAGAGATCACACCTTTTGGGAAAGTGATATCCTTGGACATGTGCTCCTCAGGTAATATCTCTTGCCGCAAAGGAATGCAGTTTTCACATGTCTGCGTCATGGTCTATGTTTCTTCAGAAGACAATTTGCCCTTCTTCTAGAAACCTTTCACCTTTACATTAATTTGTTTGATTAGTTTCATCATTCTCATTCGGTACATACCAGATTTAATTTAAAAGTTATATATGTTTTAAGCTTCAGCTGTTTTTCATCATTTTGTAATTCGGCCTACATGATTTGGTTTTGAGTATACATTAACTGCGGCATACTCTGGATAGACTGATATCTCTATTGGAATTTTGTGTCACCAAGCGTAATTGAGTCAACTCTTCTTTGGCCCTTTCTTCACATTGTTTAAACCCATGAATATTGGAACACTATGGTTGAGGAGACACCATAATATGTTTTTTTAGAGGGATGAAATCCACTTATCTCTGAGCCATATGATAATATGGGCAGTACTTTAACATCATTTACTGAAATAAACCACTACTACTACTATACGGTACGATTGTCTGGTCTGCAATCAAGGTTCTGTTATAGGAAAATGTTGTTCTACGTGCTAGGGATTGGTGTCTGTGTCAATGCTTTTGCCATTGGCATGACCTGATGCATAGTGATGCAAGAGAGGGAGACAGGTTGTGGCGATGAAGTTTCAAACGTCCGAGGAAGTGTATTGAAGGATTTTCATAACTGGAGAGGTGTAAACAGAAACTGTGTTACGTTATTTACAAGTTTAGGGGTTTCTTTTTACCTAGCTTATGTCTTGATACGTTTTTGAGCACAGCGCCGGAGGTATTGATCACATTTTGGCACGTACCGCCCACTAGATAAAATCGTAAGTCAAGTGTTAGACATGCCCCAATATGGTTCAAACGTTCTTACATTTTTGTAAGTCCATTAGTTAGTGTTGCTGGACTGAGGCGCTCAAGCTTGTCTGATGACGGCGAAGCAATAAAGGCATTTAAGCCACGTTGATTACGTTGAAACTTCTTGACCTTAAAATGTATTATGTTCATGTATTTGTACTGTTAATAGTGAGTTTAGTTTTCGCCGCTTTGAGCAATATTCCAGCAATATCACGGCGAGGGACACCAGAAATGGGCTTCACACATTGTACCCATGTCGGGATTGGAACCCGGGTCCTTGGCGTTACGGGCAAACTCTTTAACCACTAGGCTACCCGACCGCCCCTGTACTGTTTATAACAATCATACACCAATGTATGTTATGTAAAATACTAAACATATATAGTGAAGGAATGCATATCGGATTCACGTTTAGAGCAAGATGTCATGTGGAATGTTATATTTACAAATGTAACTCCCAAATGCAGTTGGGCAGATTTAGGCGGATGCTTCTTGGATCTGATGTAAGCATTGGTGTGGAAATGTATATATTTGTCTCTATTTATATATGCTTTTGGAGTCAGGTGTAATCTGGAATGCTGTAGAACAGCTAGATTAGTCAAGCATTGTACTGAACCTTCTAGTTGTAACAAGCACTTTTTCTATATTAGAGGGCAGAAGCCTTCCTTTCACATCTCACGTTACATCAAGATCAGTTGGTGGGTGAAGATCATTGTTTTCACACTGGATGCCCAACCTAATCCTATTTTGGAAGCTTGACAGCTGTTGCTTGGTGAATATTACGATCACTGTCTTTTGCTATTACAACTGAACAACTGCTGTTGTATATTGCAATGCCATTGTAATTACACTTCCATTTAATCTTGTACTGCCACTCTGTTGTGTACTGCTACTGCAATTATTTTGCAGTAATTTGTATTGATTGGTAAACCTAGTTATTTAAATAATATACAACTCGTAATTGTATACAATTTCTTTCTTGTGTGTTGGTTTCACACTGAATTATTTTATGAATAGAATTCTGCATTAACCTCTTGTTTCAATTTGGAAGTCGATATTTCATGTGCCATTCGTGAAAATATCTCCTTTTATCACGAGATGAGAGGAACAGGATATTTCACGAGAGACATGGAATATTCTATTTATTATATACTTATTGTGTAGTTGTCTACCGGAAAATTACATTATTTCAGAAGAAATGTAAAACCTTAAAACGTAAAGTCACCCTACCTATCACACAGGGCCATTCAGCACCCATTGTATTGCGTCTAAAAAAGTAGTTTCATGTTTGCAAAATCCTTAAAAAGTCAAAGTGTTATGTTCACAGCAGTGAATTATCAAGTGGTATGTTGACTGCAATGACAATATAACTTTTTACAACTTCGGAAAACTCTCACACTGCAGTATATAATATAAGAAAATATGGTGCCCCAGCGATAATAATACCATTTGACAATGTTCATATAGTTTGTTTTTTTTTTGTTTCCCCAATAGTAACATATATATATATATATCCTAGGCTTTCCAGCGGCCTCTAAAAGTCATTCCATTTAAATAAATTGTATTGATTTCTGTGTGTTATAGGTTGGACTACAATGCTTTTGTGGTGATGACATCCACAGCGGACACAGGAAAGTGGATGACGCAGAGTGCGCTTCTCCATGTGCTGGCGACGTACAAGATCGATGTGGAGGAAACTGGGCAATATCCATCTATCAGATGTAAACATGCCTAAAACTGATATATAATCCAACTGAACAAAACGTCTACTCATAGGGCTTTTCATATTCCTCTCACTATCTTTACAATTGGAAGGAATAACTTGACACTATACTTATACGTTTCTGAAAATATATTGGTTTTTATTTCATGTATCCTTCGTTTTGTGTTCCATCACAGTTGAGCTTCCTTGGACAGTGCATATTTTTATATGAACGTATGTCTCGCTTTGTTCAGTCAAATGGATGATAAATAAAATTTAATGAATTAATCCCAAAATAGCCCATTTCTGATCAATTGATTACAACGATGCACTATTGTCCTATTTTCATGTGATTGCAAAAACAGGAAAAGAATCTTCACCCCTATGTCTTAATGCCATTTATTTCCAGTCGGAAGAAAAATACTTCCAGACCTTTAGTATCCGGACATCCAGGTCTCCGAAGTGCACAAGTAAATGTTCAACTGCAACTAGCAATGAATGACACAACCACGTTTCAAAATAACCTCAAACATAACAATGACCTTTCATTGACAGTGCATCGACATTGCGTGATGCAATGATAAGATATGAACAAAAATATAAACATGTTTCGGCGGATAATCGGCGGTTATTCTCTGACATTGAAGTATTCTATTACATAAACCTGAAAGGTGACCTTGATTTTTGACTATTTTTTACCATTTTCCAAAGCAGGGCCACAATCCTGAAGCATATAAACTCTGCAAAAAAAAAAAAAATGCAAAAGTTTGAAAATCGTACATATCTGACAGTAATGCCGACATCACTAATACCAAAAATGAATTTGTCATTTCTGCATGTATTGATTGGGATTGGTTTTTATGGAAAGAATGAGATACTGCAGACATTTGGTGAAAAGATGGAAATATCGCAAAAATACAACCACGAGAGAGTCTGGCACCGAGACACACCAACATGACATGGACGTGCAACACCAATTGTGGTTCTGTAAATACGTTTGGTATTTATTCGCAAGCAATCACAATCTCACAGCAAGTGAACAGCGAATACATACCACGACTGCCGGACGCCCAACGTAACAATGCCATCGGCCGACTGCTGACAGGAGAATCATCTTCAGCTAAAGCCATGTTTTTTTATCACGTAGCAGCAAAAGCAATTACAAGACTTTGGAATCGTTATCAGACACACGAGACAACATGTGACCTTCCCACCACAATTTTGTATTTTTTATAGATCCAAAAGAAAAACAAATTTTGTTTAGGACGCCTATAAAAAGCTTGTATATTGTTTGCATATATGGAGACGGCCTCCGTGGTCTTGTGGCAGAGTGTCCGCCCGGAGAGCGGGAGGTCCGGGGTACGACCTCCGGCCGCGTCATACCAAAAGACGTTAAAAGATGTTACTTGTTGTTACCCTGCCTGGCGCTCGGCATTTAAGGGGCTAAAACAAGGACTCGTCGGCCTTGTGAAATCCAAAATCATTTAATTAAAAGTCAGAGTTAATATAATTCGTTGGCACAGAAAATGTAACAGAGTCCTGCTGTACAGTACACATACATGAAAAGGGAATTACATGGGTAACCATACAGTTACAGACCCATGGACTGACTAATCAAGGTTTATCTCATGCTATGAAATTGAACTCTTGCCGGGACATAAAAGGATATTGTAGAGGCAATATGACACAACTGACACATATCACAAGGAACAGGTCATTTGGATTTGTGCTCAGGGACGGAGTGACGCAATTGGCGTATTCCCGAAATAACAAAACAAACTATCTACTGAGTCTTCTGCTGTTCGTGTTCTTTGGGATTCATGAAGTTAATAGATAACTGGTTATACTATCCATGCTACCCTTGCTAAAATATGGCGGTGGTCTCTGTACATAACATTTTCAACATAGACATCAACAACGGTGCATACTTATATTTTCTGTAAGTACGTAATTTATTTTCATTTACATTACCATTATCATACCAAAGAATAGTGTGCCAATTAACAGCGTCATCCTGAAGTAAAAACGTTTAGAGTTTAAACGTTTAAAGTTTGAAAATATTGAAATACGGATGGACATTTTCTTCCTGGATTCAAAAGTTGATTATTATGGACTACATATTAAACTCAGAGGGACACAGTTAAGAGGGCTGGCAGAGAATTAAAGGGAACTGATTTTTATTGCAGAACAATTCACTGAAAAAGTTAGTAGTTACAGTGAGTGAGTGAGTATGATGGCGCTTTTAGCAATATCCAGCAATATCACGGCGGAGGACACCAGAAATGGGCTTCACACATTGTACCCTAGTAGTTACAGAAGGAATGTACTGTTGCCGTTGCTGAGAGATGCAAGATGCAATAAAAGAGCTTCCATGACGGTTGACAAACTCCATGCAGATAAAGTGTTACAAAGGGTCCCATCCTCACCCTATCGGGTACACCAGCCTATCTTTAACGCCATGAAAAGAGAGAAAGACGACTGTGGTCGGGAGAATGTGACTGTTCTCTGCACTGATGCCAAAGCTACCTGTCTGCATGCATGTCTCCCAGGACCGGAGCTAAGGATCACAAACATGAAAAACAGTGATCCTATGAAAAACATCACCCGGCTGTGTTGTAACTGTACAAAGACAAAGTAAGTGAAGCCGATTCACAGTAGAAATTGCAAATAACTGTCTGAATATCGCTGATAAGGAGACTGAATCATACGAATCTGTAGGATCTGTAAATAATAACTCTTCAAATACAACAAATAAGGAAATCGGATTGTGTAAATACCTTAACAATAGATTCTGTAAAAAATAATTCTTTGAAAATCACAGATAAAAAACCGCATCTGATTGTGATGTTGCGTGGCAGTGTATTTTATTGTTTAACAATGATTGTAACTATGTTATATTGTTTCCTTGGAGATTCCGTAGACGCTCATTGTGGATTGTATTTGGGCAGTGATAAGTCGTCAGGAATGTAGTGCGAAGTAATCAAAGTAGTCGTCAGGAAGTTACTATATTTAGGTGCTAGTGTGGTGGGTAAACTTCCGGAAACGGCGAGAATGGTCCGGCATTGCATCGAGCCTTACATCATTGACTGGAAAGTTACCATAGCTGGGTAGATTGTATATTAGGAGACAAGGTTTACGCATCTCTCACACATTGGATCATCTCTCATACATTTCGTTTCTCGCACTTTTTCATCTCTTCGGTACCAGTTTTCATGTGAGGATCGCTCGTCATCCCCGATTCCCTGCCCAGACCATCACAGAAGCTTGATCACTGTCGCCGCTGGGTGAATACATTTGATTATCACTGACTTTTGCTGTCAGCACTGTAATTTTGTATTTGATACTGACCACTGCATCATATTATTTATTGAAATTGAATATTGTATTGTGGCAGGCCAAAGTCTTTATATACTCATCAAACAAAGAAACGCAATACGGATATAATTATAATTTGTGGCCATAAAAGCAAAATTAACGGACCAAGAGGTGCAATATGAAGAGGTTTAATGTGTTATAGTGTCCGTGACAAATTTACCGGATCCAAATGATGACAACGACGACATGCAAACCATTAATCGGGAAACGCGTACGACTCAGAAAAAACGCAAAAAGTGCATTAAAAAAAGGGCATGGAGCTGCACGTACTACACGTGCAGCAGCACTATGAACGGTATTAAAGTGCAGTGTTTTTGAGTACCCGGCATCTGCGTCAGTCGAACAGTGACAGTTCAACAACATGCCAAGAATAAAAGAAGTGCAGAGAAGCAAAGTCATAGGCCGCTTGCTGGCAGGGTAATCCCGATCAGCTGTAGCCAGGGTTTTCAATCTAGCGCCGAGCACCATCACAAGGCTATGGGATCGGTTTCAACAGCATGGATCAACACGTGATCGGTCAAGAGTAACCACCTCCGCCTAAGATCGCTACATCCAACTGCGCCACCTACGTGAAAGGACGACAACATCCACCTCAACAGCATCCCAAATACCCGGACTGCGCAGAATCTCCGGCCAGACCGTATGAAACTGTTTAAGAGCAGCAAGTGTACGAGCAAGACGTCCTGTTCGACGCGTCATATTGAGTCGACAGCATTATCAACAACGACTGCATTGGTGTCGTCAACACCAGGTATGGCCTCAACTGGTTCAGCGACAAATCTTACTGCTCACCGATGCCTCAACGAAATTCTCCTACCACACGTCCTCCCAACTGTAGCCAACGACAACTGTGTATTCAAACAGGAAAACGCTCAACCGCATACAGCACGGATCACAAGAGCTGGTCTACACAACAACAACGTTGATGTTCTCCCCTGGTCCTCCAGATCCCCGGATTTGAACCCGATAGAGCAGTTGTGGGATGAATTGGATAAACGGCTACGCCGACGTCAACCACAACCCGAGACGTTGCAGCAGTTGCTTTTTTCGTTGCAGGCCGAGTGGGCTACCATTCCCCGGGGTTTGATTCGCATACTCCTCTCTTCCATGTCAGGCTGCTATCGATTCCGACTGGGGACATGCGCGTTATTGATGGTAGCGGACCTTCACCTTGGACTTTTCCAATATATTGATAACTGAGATCACTTCAATCCCTAAGTGTTCTCTCAACAACCTTTCAGGTCAATACCTTATACGGTTCCTCGTATAAATGTATTTTCCTACCTCACACAAAACTGGCTTTGTGTTTCTTTTTTTTGAAGAGTATATTTACGTATTGTGTGTGAAAGCTCAATATAGTACCTTTCTGATGACTGAATCACTACACAAACACAATGCAACGATTCTCAACACAAACAATATAACACAGTTACAATCATTGTTAAAAATAAACTGACGTCCAAAAGAAACTTTACCAGATTTTGAAATCACTCTTGCTAAAAAACAACAAAACATACATGCATGAAGTAAAGTGTATTGAGAAGATCAATATATCAACATAATGAACACTGAAAATGACAATCATACCGCGACCGAGAATGACGTTAGAGCCCCCCAAAGTTGGGTTTGGTACAAAACTCGAGCTTTCAGAATCATGGGCAATAGGCAGAGTACATAAACAATCGCTCACGTTCAATAACAAGTCATTAGTAGCGTGTGTGACCACCAAATGCCTCAATACACGTAAAAACTCTTCGACGCACAGAAAAAGTCAGTCGTCTGATGAGGTCACGTG